TTTGTGGCAAAATATTGTGTTTTATGTCTATCTTTAAGATCTGCTTGCCGCAAGTACCTGGTCCAGACAATGGTGCGTGAGGTGGGCAAGAGCCTGCTTAAGGCAAAGGGGCAGCGGGAAGCCGCAACGTCGTACGTGCATGAGGAGCGGGACCCCAAACACGCTCTTGTACTTGGAGTCGGAAGACTTTATGCGCTTCATGAATTTTGGTTGAGACCTGCAAGGAAACAGGATGAGTCTTCAATTGTGATGTTTTTACATACAAGGAAAATGTTGATCGCAATCAACATTTCAAAGAATTTGTTTCTGAGGGACCCATGACAAAATTACCCTTTTATGGCCACTTCAAAACAAAATGGCTGACTTTCTGTGCTTGCCATGCTGCGAAACGAAACTGGCTTTTAGGGCTGAATTAAAAATGCAAAAACAGGTTGGGTGGACCTGAAACAATTGATCCGAAAATGGGCCGCAAAAGGCAAGTCAGTAGCGAGCAGACGCTCTTGCACCCAACAGGTCCAACCATGCTTGTTGGACATGGAGTACTTCTCCATAATGGCAGTGAGGCCTAGCAAGGAGAATTTGTGCAGCAGGCTGAGCTGCATGGCCGACTGGCCTCTCATGTGAAGTGACGAAGACGGCTGGGTTAGATGGTGAGACTTCCTGAAACTGGGCCAGCGCACCCTGCAAAGGGTAAGCGGCTCAGATAATGAATGGAAATGGAAAAAATATCTTGAGTCTCCAGTCAAACCTCGGTTTTTGTCCATAATCCGTTCCAGAAGGCTGTTTGAAAACAGAATTGTTTGAAAACCGAAACCACGCTCTTTGTAAAATACAAATGTTTTTTTAACACGTCTGCTCACAATGGAAAGCAATACGAGGAAGCGTCACTTCCTCATCTACCCGAGGAAGCGTCACTTCCTCTTGTAAGGAAGGCGAGAGGAGTCAAATGGTGCATTGTAGTGCGCTCAGTTTGTTCGAGAACCGAAATTTGTTCGTCCACCGAGGCATGAAAACCTCGAAAATTTTGGTCGAAAACCGAATTGGTCGAGAACCGAGACGTTCGAAAACCGAGTTTTGACTGTACGATGATCTGCGGGTGTGTTTCTGCCCTCACCATCTTCACCATCCACGCTGTCCACAAGTACGCCGCGGCTCCAGTGAACCACGATCTGATGCAGGCCACTGATATGCTGGATCATGTCATCCAAGTGCGGGAACAGGTTGTCCTCTTTTTCCAAGTCGAGGATGTCTCCCGTGCTTGGCTGATAGGTGGGAATGAGGACATTGTCGTATGCGCTCACCCGGCTGCCCATCTGAGCCTTCCGGCACGGGGGCTTCAATAGTGGACGGCAAGACCAGTTGTCGTCCAGGTTCTTGCTTTTGGATGGACGTGAGACAGTGAGGTCAGTGGAGCTTCTCCCAGGCTCTCGATGGACAGCGCTTTGGGGAAAGTACCTGGCTTGTGGTCTTTGGCGACATGAATGAGGAGGTTTTCATGTGAGTGGAACTGGGTCCTCTGCATTGGGCCTCTTTCCCTGCAAGGAGAGCTCCATGTCTTCCAGATATTTGCTGCTTCGTTTGCTGGCTGTCCGTGCTCGTGGAGGTGTGGGATCACGAACTGGGCTCACGTTCATCCTGGAAACGTCGGCGCAGTCGTCTTCAAAGTCGTTGCCGCAGTTGCTGACCTCGGCAGGTGATGTTTCACCATTGTTCTGTCGTGGTTCTGTTTTTGACCAACAGATGGCACTGTAGGGCTCCGCCTGCAGCTGCACACCTGTTGATCATTCTGTCATTAGTTGTATAAAAGGCCTCCCGGCATGACCTCTTGGTGTCGGGTCATTGTTCTTGTCATTGTTTGTTCTGTCATGTTTTGGTCACTGTTAGTTTTGAGCTTCAGCTATAGTTTTTGTTTGACACTTTGGATTTATTTTGTTCTTATGACTTTACTTGTTTTAGATTCGGTTCTCTCTATATTTCATGAATACAATTTGTCAAGTTCCCCCTGATCCTCCCTCCTGCCTGCTTTTTGGTGTCCACCACCATGTTTCGTGACAGAATGACTCGACCCACGACTGGACCCCGCAGGCATAAAGGACTGGTCCCAGTTCCACCCTGTGCCTGGTGGAGCACGTTGCCGGCCGACACCCTTTCCACTTCACGCAGGGCAGGTCATGTGACTGTCCCATATTTTTCGTCTCGTCTCGTCAAGCCACATCCACGGGAGGCCGAGCCCCATCCGTGTCCAGGATGAGCCGTGCCATGTCCACGTCAGGCTGTCCCATGTTCCCAGTCTGGTGGAGCCGTCTTTGTCAGGCCAAGCCCAGGCATTTGGTGACTGTTTTGGGACTTCTGGGATCAGTCCCTTGAGGGAGGGGTACTGTCATGGTTCTGTTTGTGTATTTTTGTTGGAATTGTAACGAGTACTGTGAAGGATTAAAGGTTCAAGTATTTTTGATTGAGTTGTCATATCGAGTACTTTTGAGAACAAAGACAATAAAGAAGTCTGAAGACTTCGATTGAAAACAAAATGTAGGGAGAGTTTGATCGAGAAAGTGAATGGTTCAATTTGCGGCAAATACCAAACCATGATGTATGAGCGTTACTGGGTGAACAAGTCAAGAATGCATGTGATGTGTGCGTGGGACGTTTGCCTGAAAGAGAACAAGAGAGTGAGAGAGAACAGTTGAAAGAGTGGATGTGTAACTGTGAGTGGAGGCTCACGACCTCATCCAAACAGGGAATTTTGAGTGGCAAAATGGGGATAGAAATCAGTAAAAAAGGTTGGACCACGGATGAGAAGGTTCCTGATAAGAAATTAACGTGTATGGACTGGAAGCTAATGTCCTTTCAATATAAGACATCTTAATATGTGGATTATATAACGTGATGTTGCTGGCCAGCTAAACACACATAAAATAGTGTACCTGCAGGATTACATCGGGACTGTAAAAGACTATGCGCTAATTTGTTTAATTGTTAGGATATTGAACCTTTCTTTGTGAGCTTCCTGTTGGAAGGGAGTCTTATTTTGAAGCAATTTGGAAAAAGATGATGGCTTATTTGACGGTAAATTGATGGTGTCTCGGAGGTAAAGTGGTTTCGCAGATGACGAGATTAAATATTTGGAGATAGTTGAGCCTGGTTGAGAGTGATAATGAGGTGAATATTTTAGTTTGTCGAGTTGTGTCTGCGATGAGAACGTGTGCTTTACTCATCGTTGCATGTGTGTAGATAAGCGCGGCCCTTGGCGCGATTCATGGCATCATGTGTGTTTTATCTTCGAGCTTTTGCGGTGTAAGATGTGCAGTTCTCTCGAAAAACTGAGAAGAACCATCCCGGCTGCTAATGGGAGAAATTATGGTCTTGTGTCCTGAAATCATGTAAATTCGTTCAATAACTTTGCTGTCATTGAGTTGTGATGTGCCTTCCCTCATCATGAAGTTTGATGATAAAAGTTGACGCTTTGAACTCCCAATCATGTTGTCAAACGTACAAGTTCATGTTGGTCTGAGTCACAAGAAATTTGAGATCTCTAGTCAAGTCATGTGTGCGTACATGGGCTGGATTTCTAAATTTAGTTGAACACGAGAGCAGGATCTTCCAGCTTTATCGACGTGTGGACAATTTGAAATTGGCTTTGTTCATTTCGAATGGCCGCATGTTTGAAGGTCAGAAGTGGCATTTTTGAACCACGCTATCGGTGGTGTTTACCAAGGGCAGTCAAGAACAAAAAAGTAAGAAAACATGCTCTCCACACTGACTCGAATGATTCTGTTCGACAATGGATGGATAGACATTGGGTCGAAAAGACACCTGGCAGCCTTGATCAGTGCATGGGGCAAGCTCTGCATGCTGAAAGAGTGTTAGAAAAAAAAGACAGAATGAATGAGCTGCTGCACGCTCACGTGACGTTTTTGTCACCTACTCGACATTTACCTTGCAAGGCGATATTGTATTCTCGATCCCATTTAACACTGAAAGATGCACAGGATTTAACCCTGTTACATTATGACCACTTCCTGGAGGGTGCTTGTTTGTTTGTTTGTTGTACATATAAATCTGAAGTCTCCATAAAAACAAATGCTTTTGCCCTTCGGCAGACTATTTTTGAGTGTATTTGTACAGCTTTCGGTTTGCGCAGACTATTTGAGCACACACGATAGCATATTTTTACATCACTTTTCTCTCTTACTCAAAATCGATGCTCCGTTACATTATGACATCTCATCAATTTATTGGCTTAAATCTGATTGATATAATTATTTTACATTTTACTTTTGAACCTATTTTTGAATGCAACAAGTGAGTCAAACATTTTCTGGCCAGCACAGTGGCTAATATGATTGTCAGGAATTGGCTGAAGAAAAATAATCACAAATCTGAAAGACAAATGCTGTTCAGTTATCACATCAAATTGGCATATGTAATTGCGCGGCGCACACAACGAGCGCTGATGACAAAACAAGGACAGATGCAGCGTCTAAATTTTTGAGGAAATTACTGACTGTAAGCGACGGGATCACATTTTACAACTCAACTGTATTTATAGAGCACTTTCAAACAGCCATCTCTGCATACAAAGTGCTGTACATGGAGCAATATAACATAAACAACAGTTACGCAAATCGGTAATAAAGACGGTAGAAAGCACCGAAAAGCAAAACCAAGAATAAATCTAAGTCATGCTGAGTCAAATGCCAAAGAATACAAGTGAGTTTTGATGCGGGTTTTGAAGATTTATTCCAAATTTATGACAAAATTTATTCCATTTGAAAATGCAGCATCAAATTCCAATCAATCAACAAATATTGTGCTCCAACAAGGGAGCTGCATTGCAAAATGGGTGTCAGAGATGTTCGCTCGGACGGTCGACAAAGGCTCGAACACAGGAACAGATTGTCATTCTCTGCTGGCAGGATCGGTGCAGTATTCTACGAAGCCACTCCGTGTGCGCTTCCCACATCCGACCTCTGCAACCTCTGCCGGCCTTTTTATTGATTGTATATGCAAATTGTATGTGCACCTTAACGAGTGCCGAATATCGAACATATTCTTATCACAATTTAAAACAAAAAAATCCATTCCACTCTCATCTGACTCTCAATTTTTAACGTGTGCGTGTGATTGTGTGTGGGTCAGGGGAGGGCAATGTATTTGTATATTTTTTATTTTTTAATATTTTGCGACGCACTTGGGGGTGGAGGCTCCTGCAGAATTTCGTTGTAACAAGTGTGCAATGAAAATAAAGTATTCATTCATTCATTCAAATTACAAGAAACATATCAGAAAAACACTCCCATCTTCATGAACGTGACACACCTCTGGACGGCCCCATTGGGTCGCCCCTCAGACAAAGCATTTTCTTGCTACCAGCACCAACATCCAGACACGTGTACATTTTAACGAGCGGTATCTCCTCATAATTTGGCTCGTGACCCTTTCCTCATGATGGAGTGTTCAAGTACTCCCTTCCGTCCAAGGTTAAATCTTCCTGACAGGTTGGGGTCTGATAGCAGACCGAATGGAGTGTGGATCCCACAAATGCAGAGTCAGAGAAATGGCGATGACAAAAAAGGTTTATTATTCCAGAAAAGCGAGGGACCGACAAAGTATTCAACAAAAGGTGCTGGCAAAACAGGGAGCCAGAGAAATAGAACGAGAACACAAAGCTCTTGCCAATTACAAGGCGAGAATGATTTTCGAGAACATAAAACAATGGAGGTTAGTCCAATAAACGAAACCAGGTGCAGATACCGAGACTAAACAAATACTCACAAACCCGAACGACTATGATGAGGAGGGCGACTAGAAGCAGAAGGATGAACGAGACATAACAAAGCGCGTGGGCAAAGCACTGAACAAGCGCAATAGTCCGACAAAGGAGACAGGTGGTCGGTGTCTTTAAGTAGGCAGCACAGATTGCTTTGATCCAGCACAGGTGCACCGCTGGAAGGTGACGCCCCACACTCCAGCTGGTGCTGAAACACTCAAGGGACAAAACAAAGACAAAGCAAACCATGACACTTCCATTCCAAGTTGTAAGATAACAGGCACCAGTGTGTCTACCAATGATGTGGTCACGTACCATCTGCTCGGGTCCCTTGATCTCTCTGACTCTATGCTTCCATTGTGTGCAAGATGTTCTGAACACAAGCATTTCGAGGTCAATCAAGCATGTAACAAAATGAAACTTTAAAACATGACAACATTGTATTTGTCTATTCTAACACAAAGATAATGCAATTATAATCTGGTGTGCTTCATGCAAAAAAATGTACTAAAATAGACCTGTTCTTCTGCCCTAACCATGCGTTTGACATGAGAGCACGGTGTAGACAGCAAGCTAAACAATTCTCCAATAAAAACACGAAGATGAGAATGCACCGTTTGATATTTCTATGGAAGACTTTCTTGTAAAACTGCATACAAACAGAAACACAACACGAATGTTTGTACAGCATCCCATTATGCATATGAAATGTAACAGAGAAGTCCAAAGCTCACAAAAAAGCAATCCAATATGCAGGGAGAGGATCCTATCAAAGCGATGCCAATTTAGCAAAAGGAAGCAAATTAACGAAACAAAAATAGGAACATCTTTTAATACAACCAACACTTCTCCTTGACATTTACATGCAGGCGACTGATAATCGTCTCCATCTGGCGTGGCACTGAAACACTTTGTAACACTGAACAAAAGCACTTCGACTTTGTCAGTGTGTTTTCTGCTTCGAGTCTGCATAAATATTCTTATCTTGGCACCATCGGATTATTGTGACAACAAGCCATAAGAAATGGCAAACGATTGCAAAGTTAATCCTTTGAAGCGTGCTGAAAATAGTTCGACTGGGATGTTATTTGAGCGGTGACATTTTTACTGACAAAACCACAAACTGCAGCAGATGGGCCAGTACAGGATGTCGTTTCCAAAATTCATACTTGTATCAAGCACTTATTTGCTGTGTTGACTTTGAAATGAATCGGCTGAAGAGTGATTGTCCCCTGGCTCGCGGCATTGGGCCTCGTGAGAATTTATTCCATTTGTAGGCCTCTGTACCCATCGGGACTGAATTCAGCCCCCTGATGATGATGATGATGATGATGCCGATGATGCATAACCAACACTTGACTGCCCTTCCTGGGCTCTGCTCCATTTTCCCGAGAGGGTTGTGTTTACCACAGAAAGCCCTCTCTCCTACTGTGGTCTCCTGACGGTGCGCGCGCGGGGCGCACTTGAACTGGGGTGTTGGTTTTCCTCCGTGGGACTGGCGTTGCTAGCGCCCCCTGATAACGTTGCCTTGGTTTCACGTCCAGTCGTCCTTCCAAATTTCACTTTGAAGTTGGAGATGCTCCTGGGGCTGCGCTTCCCTCTCAGACGGACAGCATGACTGGTCCCTTCCGGCACTTTGTTGGGTCCCATCCATCTCGGCTGGTGCCACTTTCGCTTTAGGATGCTCACATACGTCTGCTCGGGATACGTCTATTGTTTCACGACCGGCACATCCGAGATGCTCGCACCGGGGTCTAGTCTGCTCCTGAAAATGAGGGATGAGAACACTCAATGAGTTTATGTCTGCATAATGGGGAATCATTTGTTGAAGAGCGCCCAGGTCCATGGAGTGCCATGGAGCAGGGAACTCCTCAACTCAACTCAACTTGCAGAGCACTCTAAAACAGCCATTGCTGCACACAAAGTGCTGTACATGGAGCAATTAACATATACAACAAACAGTAAAGCAAATCATAAACAAAGACGGGAGAAAGCACCGAACAGCAAAACCTTAGAACAAATCTAAGTCATGCTGAGTCAAATGCCAATGAATACAAGTGAGTTTTGAGACGGGTTTTAAAGATGGCCAGCGAGGAGGCTTGCCGAATGTTTAGTGGGAGGTCACTCCAGGGAGAGGAACCAGCAACAGAAAATGCTCGATCCCCTCTGAGCCTCACTTTAGTTCTTGGTACTTCTAATAATGTCTGGTCCGCTGACCTGAGACTCCTGGTCACGTTCCATCTTCAAAGGTGTGAAACCTGTGGCGGAATTAACGGTGGGCCTCATGGTTAGCAGTGCAATTGGCAGCGCCTCATCCCAATTCAATATTTCCCAGGTCACCAGCATAGAAAAATTTCGATTCAAGCCTAAGCCTCTGATTTGTGTGTTCGATCTTACCTTGAATTGCAGATGAAAAACCCATGCCTCCCGAACGGAATTCTTCATTTTAGTAGTCGATACAAACCAGTCTCATTCCTGGCCACTCCGTCTGTAGTTCTCCTCCTTCCGAGATGTCCTCTCCTGGTCTGCAAGAAGGTGGTTAGGGTGGAAAACATGCATTCTCCCATTTTGCCTCTAAAATTGTAAATCCGTCAAAATTATCCTAACCACATCGGCGGAATCAATGTAGGTGTTGACCTCCAATCACGATGCCCTCTCTAGTGTCCTCAGAACTGCTACCAGCTCTCTGTTTTCTCCTAATTTTTGAGTTTCTTGGACCTG